ACTGGGGCTTTTAGATAAGATAGAATGAGTAAACAGGCTGAAACCACTCTTGTTCAAGAAATTGGCTAAGAGAATCTGCGCATGCTCCACGGGAAAGTACAAGGTGAAAGACTGTGAGCCTTCCTCCCAAAGACCCCCAAAGACGACCAGCAGGAGGTAATGCGCAGGCACGAAAATAACATAAACTGCTGACACCAGCCTTTCGAACTAACCCAGTCTTACTTATGCATTTTTGTATTATGCAATCCAATAAATATGTATATCCACACTCTATAAGTTTCTGGTAAAATGTGCTGTTGGTGTGCAAGCTTTGCGGAGAAATCCCCTTGCACCCTGGCGCCGGAGTAAAAATACCTGCTTTATAACTCTCTCTGAGTTGTAGTCTGTTTCCGTGAATCACACTGCCAAGAGGGACAACAAGGGGAGAGCCCAAGGTGCTCAGGGACAGCTGCCCAGCTGGTGGCCTGTAGATCAGATCCTCCTGGTCCTTTCTCTCAGCTTTTTCTTGGAGGAAATGGGATCCCAGCAGAGGTGATGTACCCTACCCAAGCAGTGTAATGCCAAAGAGGGGAGAGGGCAGGTACAGCAGCAGGACTTGCTGCTGCCCCCCATGCCGCTGTCACCACCAGCAGGTCATGGGGGCCGGTGGGAGAAAGGAGAGTTGCCCAGAGGAGGATGCATGCCCCTGGACCACCATCTGACGCATCACCCTCAGGACCCTCAGGTTAATGCTTTAGTCATGTCTCTGGAGGGGAAGATTAAGTTGTTTCTGCTTTGCTATAGGCAGGCATGTTTAGCACTCTGAATGGAAATGGTTGACAGGTAATAAAAATGCAGTGCAATGAGGATGAATAGTCACCCTTAACAGAAACTTCTGGTTACAGGCCACACTACACCAAACTGCCCAGATGCTGGAAGGTACCCTGTATGCAGGGTCCTCCACTGCCTTTCTCTCCTTGAGAAAAACGTCATCTCAGTTCCTAACCGAAAAACTTCCAAGAAATTTTGTTAATCCTTGAAGAGTCTTAGCAACACCTCATTAACAGGTGATTTTGTGTAGAAAACTGTGGTGAACGGCTACTTCTTGAAACAGTGATCATAGGCTATGAATAGCAAGACTTTATTTAAATGAAAATTAATCTCAGCAAAGGGAAACAATAATTTCTGCAGAGCCAAGTGCACAGAAGAGGAGGAGGAGGAGAAGTATCCCAGAGTGATGTGACTAGGAAGACTTCAGTGTGAAAAATGTGAAATATTTTGAGTGACATATAGACACAAGTAAGCAGGGAGGTGTTATGACCCACCCTCAAGCTCTGCTGTGGGTGGACAAGCCCCTTGGAGCTGGGGGCACTCTGGGGCTGGGAACAGTCAGGGGACCCTTAGGAGACACATTCCTACACAAAACACCACCAGCCACCCAGCATGTTCTTACATAGAGGCTTTTAGCAGCCGCTGTCGCGGTCCACTCAGTGGACTTGTGATGGTTCATTTGCTACAATCTCAAAAGTGCAAAATTAAGGTGACCAACACCAAAGGGGATAGCAGTAATCAAACAGTAAAACTTCACTGTGTTGCCCATGAAGCAGCACGCGATCATTAGAGATGGGTGAAAGAAAGGAGAAAAGTAAAGTTCAGAGAGAGGAGGGAGAGAGGTTATAGCTACCACCCTTGATGTCACAACATCCTAATGGTCCCGGGTCCAGATGATGCTGCATCATCAATCGTCATGATCCTTGGTGGGGAAGCTTCCAGTTTTCATTGTCCAGAAGTCATCTTTTTATGCTTAGTAGCACACCTTGCTCCACCTCTGCCTCAGGGGTCTTCACCCTTCTCAGAATTCAGTTGTCATATCTCCGGCCTTCTTGAAGGAGGCCATCGCGCATGCACAGCGGGGAGTGTCCAAGGCATGGTCAGTCTTGGAGGCAGGCAGTCTTCAACCAGGAGGTGTGTTTCTGCATTATAATACAGCAAAGTTCATCTAAGGTTCATGATTTCTTCATCGATGTTATGGCAACAGTTGCGATCCATCTGTTTTGACAGCGGCTATGCGATTATCTCTAACAGCTCCAGCTAGGCCCAGGTACCACACAGTAGCACAGCACTCTTTGTACTACACAGCTCAGGCACTGAAAACCAGCCCAGCACTCCCTGCACCACACGGATCAGTAGTCGGGAGAACAGCCCAGCACTCGCTGTGCCACACAGTTCTGCATTCAGGAGCCTTGGCACCGCATTCCACTCCAGGGATCGGCAACTATGCTCCAAACAGGCCATTGTCGGGTACCGTACTGTCCATGTCCCTGATGACAATGTTGAGACAATGCTGATCTTCTGATCGACTCTTACAGCTGCTCATGTTTTTAATTAGCTGATAGATTGCAAAGGGCTTTAAAATCAGCCCTTCTCAGAGCAGCGAGACAGTCAAGGTCTGATGTCCCCAGAATTTGCCCCTAAAGCAAGGGGCTACATGGGTCCTTCAGCATCCGCTGCATTGCAGCACCAGAGCTGCTGCAAGAGCCACTGCCCCCTCTGCACACCTCCTGGCTTGCCCCAGACCTGCCGTGATTTCCTATCATCAAAACTTTCACTTCCTGCATTCCAGACAGAAAAGGGTGTCCAAAACCGGTTCAAATATTATTTCATGGGACAGACAGACACACACGCTGCTCAGACACCTGCAGGTAATATCTGTGCACAGATCACACTCAAATTAGGTTTCCCTATATTTACATCCCTTTAGAGGTTGGAATGGGGGCTAAATGTTTGGGGCTGGGTTTGGGGTTTTTTTCTTCCTGGTTTTGCTGAGTTTGTGTCAGGAAGGAGAGAGATGTCAGCACACAACACGGACGCGCCGAGGCACTGGCAGGGAGACACCTCTGAGGGGAAAGGAGCAGAGGCCAGGGCCCTGCTAGCGCCAGGCAAAGCAGAGGCAGCTTCTGTTAAAATTCCCTTTCTCTGCCTGTAGTAATGGCTCCCTTCTGGTATGAAAGTGCCCTTTCCCCAAATGCACTCATTCACGCCCTTCCCCTGGAGATGAACATGCAACAGGCTGCACATTTTTTGGTAGAAAGCTTTGGGATTGCCCAATAATTAATCTCAGTAAAAAATAGGTTTAAAATAGTGTCAGATGCCAAGGGGATTCCTTGCTTTCTAATTACCAGACAGTAATCTCCTTCCTTTCCCTCTCATCCCTGCTTCTGCAGCACTTCCCCCACTCCTGCAGCCTTGCCCCTCTCCCTGGCTCTCCCCAGCCACCCCGGCCAGGGCACTCTCACTTTCTCAGGGTAAGGGGCCATGTCCTTGCTCCCGACTCCCAGCTCTCTCTGGGTTTTGGCCTAGATGTGGCAGAAGAAAGAGCTTTTTAATTTTAAACCAGCCCAGAGCTCCTGTGTTTATGGCTCATATTAATATTTAAACCCATGCCATGAGAAAAAAGAACTGCCTATATTTTCTCTCTTTTTCACAGCTACCAGCATCAGAGGGGAAGAGGTTGGTGGGCTTATCTTTTTGTCAAGCAGAACACTCTCCAGCTGTCCTCACCTCCCATTGAGGGCATGGTCCTCTGCTCTCTCCTGGGAAAGATGCGCTTGTTTTGTTGTCACTCTGCCTTGTTTTAGAGGTGTGACCCAGGAGCACACAGAGACATGTTGATTGAGACAAACTTCTGTCTGGTCCCAGGGAAGCAGTGAACTTATCTACTTAGGAGCCAAGGTGGACCTCAGAAGTTCCACTTCACATTGAAGGTCTTGGATGTGAAGACCTCTACCAAGAGGAAAAGCACTTACTGTGCAAGCTGATTTTAGCTACGGGGTTATTTATGGGGATGCAGGGTATGCAGTGATGCTGTTTTTCCTAAACACCCCAGATTTCCATCTGTGTGGAGAGCTATTTGAGTCAAGCATGAATGCTGAAACCTTAATTGTTGAGCACTCACATCTATGGAAGCTTGGGAGCCATGGATTTTATGTGTGGCAGTTGAAGGGAGAGCTAGCACCTAAGCCCTATCCACCCTGACATCAAACAGCTTTAATCATTCATTTCAGATTAAATCCTTCACATCGTATCACGCAAATGAGTTCTGCATTGCCGTCTTTACTGACGCAATGATCTTAGGAAATAGCATAGTTGTTGGGCTGTTGAGTTTTGTTCTTTTTTTGATCCTTTTGTTTTGCTGGCATGAAGGATAACAGGAACATGAAAGAAAAGGTAAGTCATCATCGCAAAACGTATTTCCAGCCGTGGAAAGCACATCCTCCACACAGTGTTAGGCACCGTGCTAACCTTTCAACTTCAAAAACCTTAGACAGAAACAAATGAAACCCCCGAAGCCAATTGCGTGTTTCCTATATCTCTTTATTGACCGCCACTGGCCGCATTCTCAGGTTGAGTGCCAGATACCAGTGAAAGAGGTGGAGCTACCCTAGAATGACAGTGAGAGCAAGGGAGACTGTGTTACACACAGGCTGGGGAGAGCTGGCTGGGGACGTGAAGCCTCTGCACAGCGGTGAGCCCCCCTCTCTCCCCCGAGGGCCTACTAAGACAGTGGAAAGACGTGCTTGTCCTTGTGTCAGTCGTCCCTAAGGGAAACGACAAAGTAGTGGTGTGAACAGGTACACTTAAACACTTCGCCGAAAAAAATACACGTTGCAACCCGCGAAGGTAAGATACTGTTTCTCCTGCGGTTGCAAGGAACTCTGGCATGTTCATCGCATGTACATAGGATCTCAGGTGTGGGGCTTGGCTCTGTTGCTTTTTTTTAAGAGTAACCAGTTTAACTCTGCATGGGGTAGAGCAAATCTGCAGGGCTTTTCCCCTGCTCCACGCCTTGCCTCAGGACTTGGTGCACTCACCAGGAGCCAGTGTTGCTTGTTCACTCCCTCCTACCTGATGGTTATGGACTACAGCACCAGAAGAAGACCCTTTCAGCAAGTACAAGAGCGTGGCAGCATGCGCCATGCATGCCATCCCCACAGCACAGTTTGCAGGTTTAAGCTTCAAAGTCCACCAGCCACTTCACCCAGCCCCTTGTCCCATCCAAGGGAAAAGGGGAAGAAAAAAAAAAAAAAGGAACAAAGGAAAGGGAGGGGGGGAACCAACAAAATAAACCCCTCTAGATATTCACTGATATCTATGCAATGGCTCTGGGAATGAGACCTGCAGACAGTGGCAACCTGTGTAGCGCAGCAACAGGCAGGCTTAGGAAGAAGGCGCGGAGGTGGGCTTCTCCTCCCGGGACACAGGGATGGGCCTCTCGCTGTGGCCGGCGTCCATGTTGGAGGGGACCTTGGGGCCCGAGAAGGTCAGCATGCCGTCGTTGGACAGGGAGCAGGTAATGGCAGCCTGGTCCACGTTGGCGGGCAGACGGTACCGGCGGTGAAATTCACGGGAGATGTAGCCGTGATCATCCTGAGGAGGCAGTGGGGAAAAGTGGGGAAGGCCCATCAGAAACCACATGGCACCACACCACATCTCCCTCTGCCTGACCCCACAGCTCCATCAGAAGGGGCGGTCCACATTCACCCTGGCTTATCATGACACTGTACTGCTGGTATCACTGGGTGCATCTCTGCTTTTTATTCTATTTTACAGGTTTGTAGGGGTAGGTGTCCCCCCGTGATGTCCCTGAAGCTGCAAGAGCTGAGCAGAGCAGCAGGATGTGATTTTGGTCATATTACAGGTTGAGATCTGATTTGGACAGGGGCCCTGCCATGGCATCCAATTGCAAAGGATGCTTGGAGAGAAAGTCTGGAGTGCTGCAAAGGTAAAAGCAATGCACACATGTGTGCCCATGTATTTCCTTACTAGGCAGCAACACTATGTCAGCCAAAGTACACAATCCTGGCCCCACGGGGTTTTTTGGCTAGAAGAATGAGAAATGCAATTTTTTTTTTAAGTCAGCCATGAAAATGGCTGCTCTCTTCCTCTGGAAAAAATAACTATATTAAAAAATACATACTCTTTCCACACTAGAGCTTTGTCCAGCCAAAAAAGTGTATGAGAAGAATTAAACCCCTGCTGGTATAATTCACTTTTCAACCCCCACAGATATTTCCATGATATACGTGTTAAAAGTTTCCAAGCCTGAGGCATTTAGTTGTTTTTCTTTTGTTTTGTTTGCTCTTGCTTTTCTCTCCCAGATCAGCATATGAAAACTGTTTTCACTAATGATTCTGGCTTATGAAAACTCAGCCATGCTTTAGCAGTGCCAGATGATGTTCTTTGTCTGGTCCAGTGTTATTAGTGAACAATGAACATAGTCATCTGAGGGTTATGGAAGATGATGGTTGAAAACAAACAAAAGACGAGTGGATTAGCTCATTATTGTCAGATATCAGGTTGGAGCTCTGTAGGAACTAACCATGCAAATAATGATAATTGATAAATAACTTCTTCTGATATTTTTTTTTTTTCCTTCAGCTGAGGACCATTGGAAAGAAAGAAAACAGAGCTTGACTCCCCAGTTGCTCCACCATCAACATCACTTACCTGTCTTTCACTGTGCTTGCCATGGATTTCCACAAAGTCATCAATAATCTTCACACTCAGGTCTTCGGGAGAGAAGTGTTTTACATCCAGCATGATTGTAAACTTGTCCCGGTCAGACCTCACCTGAAATGAACAGTGTTAGACAGTAAGACCCAAGCTCTAAGTGTGGAGGCAGCACCAGCATCGTGGCAACTTAAAAGCTGAAGATGAGGTGGCCTGGCAGTGGCATAGTTTCTCCTTCTGTGACTACGGGCCTCAGTGGGGGTCTTCCCATCACAGGGGCCCAGGGACACTGGGAGGCTGTGGTAGGTGTCTGTGCCATTGCTACTGCTCTGAGGAGAGGAATCACTTCCCGCCGCTATTCTTGTGATGGGAATCCTTTTGCATTCACCAATTTGCCAGATGCACGGGCATTTGTACGCAGCAGCAAGAGGGGACGGAAATCAGTGTAATATTCTCTGGTGGCACGTGTTTCATCCTTTCAGCAATTTATAGTTTCTTTGTGGTCTAAGCTCTGGGAGAAAACCAGTAAGAGAGGACTAGAGAAAGCAGAGGTTCCTGAGTTTCAGGCTACAGCCCCCATGGCTACGCACTCCTCCTACATGCTGCCTTCAGAGAATTGCTCCTGGGTCCTCCAGTGTGGGTTTGCAAAAACCACTGAGCTTCTGAGGTGAAGGAGTGGGCCAGAGGAAGCTCCCCCTCACCAGGGTCCTCTCCCACGCTGAGCTGCCCTCACAGGTGCTTACTCTGGGAGCAGCCTAGCTCTTCCTTTGCCATATGGCCAGCAGGCATGAGGGCAGCAAAGGCAGACTTCTACGTGTCGGAAACAACCATCAGGAGCCAAAATAGTTTCCATTTCTCAAACGGAAGCCTTCTCCTCAGCAAGGGTTTCCCTCAGTGCCCAAGAAGAGGCAGGCGGGCTGTGCTTGGTGGTGGGCCAGAAGTCCTCCTCGCCCCCTTGCACCCCAGCACGGGGCTAGAGTCAGTGAGCCACGGGTGAGGAGGAGCAGGCGGAGACATAAGGAGGGAGAGTAAGGAAAAGGAGATGAAGCTGAAGGGCCCTTACCTCTGAAATGCCCGACTCCAGCACGCTGCGGAAGAGGGACTGCCTGTAGTAGGGGCTGATAGTGGAAGAGAACAAAGGCAGGAGATCATACTCAAAGAGACCCTCTCCAAAAAACTGGTCGAACAAACGGCTTGGAATGAGGGGTCCCAGAGCACGCTTGAACCAGGGGTGCTGGATGGTAATGTCCATGCTTGCTGCTGCTGCGACCTGTGGCTGCAAGGGGAGAACAGTGGGGGCAAGAGACAGCGATGCCTTGGGTGGACTGCGCAGTGCAGCTCCAGGGAAGCTCCCCCTATATATACCGGTCTCGCAGAATGAAGGCATTAGCGGGATTTCTCTGGAAAGACATGATCTCATGATGGAGGCAATGTGGTCAGCAGAAATGCAGAGACTGACCTGGAAATGACAGTCTGGTTGGAATCGTTGCCAGATCTCCTGGAGGGATGATGCCAGGCAGCAGGCTGTGAGACACAGGGTGCCCAGGGGTACTGGCAGTTCCTCTATGGGATCAAGCAAGCTAAACAGGACACCCTGGTGGACATCTCAAGGATGCTTGTGGAGGAGGTCTGCTCTGTGGCTCTTTGTAACCCGCCCTTGGCTTTTTGTTAATTTGCTTCTGTTTCTGCCCCTCCTTGAAAGAGAAACACAAAGTCCCTTCCAAATAAAGGAAACCGCTTTCTCCCAAGCGAGAAAAAAGGGTTTGATTCAGTTTGAAAAAAGGGAAATGTTTTTTGTGACATGCTATAAAGTGTCTCCACCACCTGAGAGGGGCCTGACAACCCTGACATAGGGATGCTGGTGGGGCTGGCAGGGAAGCAGGACTAACACATAATGCAGAGCATGAACATAGATCTGACAAAACAGAAACTTTTAACAAACAAATACTTTGCCAAAAGCAAGAAGGAAAAGTAAGTTTGGTCACTGACCGTACAGCAATTCCAATGCTGCTCTTGAGACTGTCCTTGTTTTGATTCAGGAGTGTTGTGGGATGTTCATTTATCTGCCGGTGTCACAACACAGATCCTGGTTAACATGCATTTCTGGTTATGACTGTTTTGCATTTCTGTTTCACTTAAAGCCGCCTTTAAAGGGTTGTCCGCCATCCCGGATGGACCAGGGATAGGGGCACGTGGACAGCCCACTGTGGGAGCAGCAAGCTCTGCCAGAGAGCTGAGGCAGCTGAGCGGTGAAAGGGTGGCAGGGCTGCCCAGCTCCACAGCCAGGCTCGGCACGAGGCCATGGCAACAGCTGAAACCCCATTTCCTCTGGAGCCAGTGATGCTCCAGTGCTAGGACTGCATACTAGGGGTCTTCCGGGCAGCAGAAGCACCTATGTCAGGAGTCTTGTGTGTCTCAGCACCTTTTGCAGTCAGCAGAAAGTGAGAGAGAGGAGAAGGCACCTCCAAAAGGCACTTTGGAGCTGAGAGACTGAATCATCCTCTTCTGGTGACAGGGGCTAAAGAAACAGAGGGTGGATGAGACCCTGGCATCAGAGCTTTGGGAGAAATGGGACCAATAGAGTCCAGAGAAGCTAAATTCATAAAAACACTGAGGCAAAGTGACATTCAGCTGGCATCTACACTCCACGTGGTCTTGGAAAGTCCTTGGCCTTGACCCCTTGCTAACGCAGAGGTCACGGACACAACTACCCCTCATGACCCTTCCCCACGCACTGCATGGAGACAGGAGAGGAAGAGTGGGAACCAGAAGATCTTGTTACAGAGACTTTCCAGAGGCAAGCAAAAAGTTGAGCAGAAAACCACCCAAAAAGGCAGCAGAGACCACTAAGACACACAAGAGTTTAGGTTTAACCTCACCTAGTTCCAGCAAGAAAAGGCCCTGTAGTCTGGCCATGGTTCTCAGGCATGAAGGCTTTTCTAAAATCAGGTGCCAAAACGAGATCAATTCCTCCTCAAGACATGCAGGAAAACCCCACAGCAAACAGATTGAACACGCCATTCAATCTCATTGTCCCAAATCTGTCATTTTGCTCAAGAAAATTAAGGGAAAGCAAACAGAAGTCATAAAGCACTCCTGAGATTTTTCTTGGAGAGCTCTATCAGATTTTGGTCTTTGCCCCAAGAGTGAAGAAAATCTCTCTTTAGCCACTCAGTACCAGAGACCTGCTAACCTGTATTTAACCATCTGGCAGCAATGACCTGATATATGTAGAAAGATAAAGGAACAGGTTCAAATCTCAAGCCACTCACTGGAGCACACTAAGCAAATTATTAATTTGGCTGGTAGAGGAGCAGGTGGGAATGGTGCCCTGACACAGAAAGTGAAACAGATTTGGGGGTCTGACATACCATTTGGGCCCAGGCATGTGTGAGGGGTGGATGCATTCCCTGCAGAGTGTTAGGAACATCCTCTTTGTGTTTCCCAACCCAGGAGTTATACCAGGAACACAGGGAACTCCTCTCTGGGCATCTTTCAGTCCTTAACAAACTGCCAAACTCTTGAGCTCTGACCTCCAGCATATTCCCTGTGCAGGAACAGGGGCAGATTATTGGGACAGACAGGAAGAAGGGATCCTAGGCAGGCTGTACGTCTCTCAGCAACACCAAGCAGCATCCCATCGGTGCTCTTAGATAGGCACCAGGAAAGCAGCTGCTTGCCTACACACCATCACTTATCTCACAGGGAAGCCCAAAAAACCCCATCATCTACCCACAGCCTGAAGCTTGCTCCAGGATTGGTGCACATGTATGTTCAACACATGATCGAAGTACCCTGTATGTTCAGTGGGATTATGGGAATGGGCTGTTGAAAGAAAAATTACAAATATGTCTTAACTTAAATTTCATCTAAAATTATGTATATTACCACATATTCAAATACTTGAAAAATTACAGCCAACTTTATGGGTTTATGTCTTTAGTTTCTTCTGGACCCACATTTTCATGGCTCTCCCTAGAATTAATCATATCCATTTTGCTTTGGATGGACATTTTTGTCTTTTATGGGCAAAACATTCCTCTGAAATGTACATTTCAATTACAGAAGTTTTTCCTGATACAGACTTGGCACTGCCTGCATGCCTCTGGGCAACAAGCAATCTCCTGCGACTCATCACACCTAACTTCCAACAATCTAAAACCTTATGAGTTGTCCAGGCTCCCCGTCCAGTAGGTGGGAGAGAGACAGATGCCTCCAAGTGGCTCACATTAGGTGGGTAGGAAAGGTGAAATGAGACACCTTTCAGCAGTGTCTACATCTTGACTGACAAAGGAGGAAGCCTGGACAGCTGCCTTAGGGGAGCCCGTTTTAATTCTAAGCTCCTGGGCAAGCAGAGTTGGTGAGATGAATCCCATCCAGTGGGAATTTCGTATGAGAGGATAAAGCAATCATTTTGCAACAGTTCAGGGGGCCAGACTTCTCACAGGATGCACAGTATTTGTGCATCATTATCACCTACTGAGCAAACGAAGTGAGATTTATTGGTGTTGCTATAAAGGAAAAAAAGACTAATGCATGTGCTCATGAACACTTCCGAAAGCAATACATCAATGGCAGGTTTTCCCAAAGCCTCACTGAAAATTTAGAATACAAGTCCAACTCAAAAGGTCTTCCAGTAGGATCTGCTGTCTATCTTACCTTTGAAAAAATCCCTTCCTAAACTATCCTGCGTAACTGCCATCACAGGAGACATTTAGTAAAAGATGTTTCCCAGGACAAGCTGCAGAAATCCCAGATCATGTTTCTGAGTAAAGCAGAAATCAGTGATCAAGAACAGCCCTTGTTTGCGTTCAGCTGCAATCAGTTTGCTCACATAACTGACTCACACCTGCAATTTCTAGGTGAGTCCAGTGCTGTTTCCAACCCCCATGACAAGCTCTGTACAAGCCCAATGTGAAGAGAAAAGCAAGCATTTAAGTGGAGAACTGGCTGGTCACGTGTAACTGTGGAGGGTTTGTATGCGATTCTGAAGTGCTAATATAACTGGGATTACTGGTTCTAACTGGTGTATTGCAGCCCCGGGACAGCCAAGAAAGGCAACCTCTCTGCTCTGATCTGCATGTCCTCTCGAGTCAAGTGGTCTCTGTTAACCTGCAGTGTGCAACTCTTCAGATAGTTCTGATAGAAAACCGGAATGATTTTTATTTTGAATAGACCTGTCAACCCCAAAAGGTAGGACTGTACTCATTTAGATGGTCCTCTGCATTTAGATGTAAGCTGTTTAGTGACAAGATAAGAGAGTGAATAATCTCTGCCAATATTTAATGATAAGATTGTTGCATATTGTTAAAAAAGTTTTCCCTTCGGAGGAACGTTTCTATGAGGTACAAAAAGGAGTTCATGACAGCCACACAGAACTAGGGCAGGTAATAATGTGATTTTGTTGCAAGTTTTCTTTCTACCACTCTTGCTGTGGTGGAAAATACTACATAATGGGTGTGAGGGAGCTGGTGAGTGGGAAAAAACGACCGTGCTTTTCTTAATCTTACATAGACCTATCTTTGGAGAGGATGCAAGAAGTCGACAGAAGTCGGTGTGCAAGCAGTCAGTCTAAAAGGGCAGGCTCACTAGGGAGCCAGCATTATCAGTTTTGGCTCCTGAGCTGCTAAGCATTTACTAAAAGCTCCCCCTAGAAATGAACACAGAGCATTTTTTTTTTCCTTTTTTTTTTTAAGGGAAGAGTCCTTTCTTTAGAAGACTCATTTCCTGTTCCCCAAACATATGAGTGCCTTCCAGGGCAGTGTCATAGTCAGGACCTCCAAACCCTTCTATCATGTCTGACTAGGGATGCTGATGGAGGAAGGAACAACTGATTATAACTGCAGCTAGACTCATTTTCCTCTGCACTCAACCCCCACCACCAAATACCATGGAAAACACTAAAGTAGTGATTTCTGCCGAGTAGTTTTGAATGTTGTTGATACCTTCTCGCCAAAGTTTATAATGGTTGGAGGAGATTAGGCCGTGTTATCAGTGCAATTTGCACACTGTGCTTAACTGTGGTTGGGGCTGCAGGGCTAACGTAATGGGAGGGCTGACAGGGGAGAAGGTAGATGTTATATTCTTTTTTTACTAGATGAATAAGAGTTTCTTGTTAAAAGCAAAGAGAACACTTGAAAACCCCTCTTTGAGGATAGTTCATAGCAAGAAAGAAGCCAGTTAGTGGGAGGGTTGCTACATGCTGAGCACCTTTGAAAATCAGGCCATGTATTAAGAAGTTTAAATATAGATTTAGGAGCCTCACTTTCAGCAAGTGTATTTTTTTACAAAAATCCAAACCTTGGCTTGCTTTT